GTCCCAAAGACATGGTAGAAAGGAAGAATAGATGCAGCATGACTGTTGGGTTCATGTAACCTCCTACCGTGTGGCCAGCATCCTCCAACAGCTGCTTCGTCTCCCGAATGGCGCGTCTCATGGCAGGGCTTGGCATGGTGAAGAAATCGGTTTCATAGTAGCCTATGCGGAGAGGCTGCGTGCTGGAATACACCTGCAGAGCAAGGGAGAGTGCCAGCTGGAAGGACGTCAGCGGCGTCGGGCGCCAACAGGGCACCCATGCTGCAGGGCAAGTCTGGAAAGCAGTGCCTCTCTCGCCCACATGCCCACCCACAACATGTGGCATGTTGGAACGGGTCCCGGAGGGCTCCCATGAGCCACTGACGTTTTCAGCCTTGATGGCAGCTCTTCTCAGAGACCTTTGCCCCCTCTGAGGTCCTTTACCTCTTCATTGAAGGGAAGGGGGGGCACTCTGCTGTCCAGGTTGAACATGTCCTCACACAGGAGCGCCCGCATGCACAGGGCCAGGCTCTCCACGTCTTTTGCCATCGGCCCCACGGCTGCGGCCACTGGGAGAGACCAGAAGAGAGCGTTCATGGTTAGGGGTCTTTCAAGAATGTGTCTTTCAAAAGCAGGACCTCTTGGCATGATTTTGACTTAGTCTAGTGTTGGCAACAGTTCCTCTTTGAGAATTGGGCTGGGGATGCCTACAGGTGCCTTTCCACCAACAGGCCCATGGTTATGGACCCAGAGCTAGTATCCATCAATATGTGCCCTGATGTCTCCATTTCATTATTTACAAAATTACACAAAAAGCTTTACAAGGACAACACAAGACACCCCCTTTGACTGCTAATGCCACCTCCTGTGAAGCAGTGGCAGACAACGCAGCAACCTGGGGGTTACAGGGTGTGCTGAGGTTTATGTGTTACACAAACTGCTCCTCTCAGCTCATGCATATTCCAGCTTCTCAGGAATCTCAGTATGGGGTGGCTCTCTGAAAAATTCCCCGAGAGGGAACCTGCTTCCCTCTCTGAATGTGTTGGAGAAGGTCCCCCATAACCAGCTGAGGGTCCTTCTCACCCCTGCCCTGCTGCCTTCCCTGGGGGACAACCATCAGTTCCTACCTGCCTTCTGCCCAAGGACACCAGCAATGATTCCTTTTTTACTGCAAAGAGAGAGATACAGCAGCTGAGTCATTTTCACAGAAGGGAAAGGCTTTAAGCAGTAGCACGTGGTAATGAGAACACTGCCCTCTGCAAATGCAGAGGTTGGCAGAAGGAAGGGCCAAGGGGAAGCCCAAGAGACCAAATCCAGGCCAGAATGATTTATGTCAGTTAGGAACAACCAACCCCTTGGCATGCAGATGGAGAGGTTTCTCAGTCTCCATTCTGGGGGAACCAATGCTTCCCTCCATACAGGCCCCAGAAAGTCTCTGGGCAGGCAGGAGAATTGAGTCCTTCCCAGTTCTTCCCAGGTTTCCCCTTGCCCGCAGGAGCATCCCAGCACAGCAGTCAGTAGGGTGGGTCTCACCCAAAGACATCACTGCATTACTCACAGTACCTGAGTCTGTTCCCAGTAGGTTTGAGTGCACAGATCCCACAGAAGGCAGCGGGAAAACGCAGGCTCCCTCCTACATCCGTCCCAAAGCCCAGGATGGACCCACCTCCTCCTACAAGTGCCCCTTCTCCACCAGAGGAGCCACCAGGGCTTCTAGTGTAGAGCAGAGGATTGAATGTCTGACCAAAGATTAAGTTCTTGCAGTCATAGCTACAGAGAGAGAGAGAGAGATATTGCAAATGAGGGGAATGTAGATATCTGCCGCTGGGGACCCTGGTCACTACAAAAAGACCTTCAGAAGGTAACTGCGTAATTCACTAGCTGTTCCACTGACATGACTTACTCTGAGGGAGCTTCCCAAAGCTCCCATG